AATAATGAATAAATAGAAAATAGACTCTCTTTTGAACAATATGCTATTAAGTTGCGTTGAAAGTCTAAGCCTTTTTTACCGACTTATATGACGATGTATATTTTGCTAATAAAATACTCAACGAAGAAAGTTCCAATGGCAAAAACTATACCAGAACACCAAATGTAAAAGAAATTTTGAAGGTCACTCAAGTTGAGGGTTTTGTCACCAGAAGACTCGTTCGTCAAGCAGAATGTGGAGTTCCTTATTTCCCAGTCCAGCCACATAGCAACCAAATAGGATTTTCTCAACCATACGATCCTATATCATTGAAACAATAAATCTATGTATTACTAGGATTAGCAATATTTTCCTTCAAGATGGTTTCGATATTACTTTTATTTTTCACTAAGCGTAATAGCTTTTAAACATAGTAGAAATAATGTCGCATGAGTGGTTTCAGAAGCATTTTAAACGAGCATCTATAGTAACAATTACTTTGAAAATAAGTAATTTAAACGTATTTAACACTCAGCAATTTAGAAGTAAAAAGGTTATTTCACGTTGACTTCAGGACACGTCTCCATGCGAAACAGCTCACCACGATATCATACGTGATTAAATAACCTTTATTAGATGAATAAACAAGTAATGTTCTTGAAGGCCATGAATTATTATTACTGATCTCATTAATAAGCTGGAATTTTTTACAGGACGTCGCGAAACGGATTATAACGGCGTGGTGAGGCTCCAAATTCGTTTCAACGTAACGTAATCAGAAACACTCGATAGAGTGCTTTCAGAAACGTTGGTAAAAAAAAAAAGAATAACTGAATCCATTACCTTGTTTATTTTAAGTTAAGCACAAGGCTACACAATGGGTTATCTGTGCTCTGACCACCACAGGTATCGGTTTCAAGCGTTATATCTATCCAAAATATGCTTGAATGATTTATACATACATAGTCTGTATACAAAAAGTAACTATATGTTGCTTATAAGTCAGTTTATAGACACACGTTAATAGTTACGTATAATGACAAAAATGTTTTTATACACACAGAAAAACTTACTTTTTATTCAAATTTTCAACAAATGTTTTTGGGAGGTTTTGTCGAACAGCCATTGTATAATGCCACGGATAATACCTCCTTTTAGACATCTGGAATTTGCACGATTTTCCCTGTGAGATTCTACGTCCAAGAGATGCTTCTATTTCTTTCGTCCAACTCATTAATGCATGAGTGCCTCGTTCTACCTTATCAAGAACAGTGTTGATATCGCTATCGTCAGTGTAGTCGAAAAAACTACCGGGGCTGTTTTCCATTTTCAGCCAAAGATCTCTCATTCTGTAATCGGTGGAAAGCTGAAACGGATAATTAGAACACTGAACTGAGGAGATTTATCAGTGGAAAGCTGCAACAGATAATTAGAACACTGAGCTGAGGAGATTTATAACATAAACATCTGGATATGTATTATTTAGAGCTACAATTACAAAAAATCAAACTGTTTAGGATTTTAGATTAGTTTTTAGTTTTAGAGAATATTACTCTTTGTTTGTTTGTTTTTGAAATTCGCGCGTAGCTACAAGAGGGCTATCTGCGCTAGCCGTCTCTAATTCAGCAGTAAAAGACCATAGGGAAGGTAGCTAGTCATCATCACCCACCGCCAACTCTTGAGCTACTCTTTTACCAACGAATAGTGGGATTGACTGTCACATTATAACGCTCCCACGGCTGAAAGGGCGAGCATGTTTGGTGGAACAGGTATTCGAACCCGCAACCCTCAGATTGCGAGTCGAGCGCACTAACCACCATTACTCTTTGAAGACGCTTACTTTATGTACTTCTAGAAGACATGTTTAAGTCACTGAAAAAAAAAAAGACGCTAGATGCATCAGTGGCAGCGTTTTAAATTGGTAAAGACAAATAATTCTAATATATTATGTACTATGTGAGGCCTATATACCCTTAGTCTTTAGGTTAATAAAAATAAGAATAAATGAAGAATTATTAATTGGATACCATTTATACATGTCAAATATTATAAGAAATATTTTACATGATTAACTGTAATCCTTAATTAAATGATCGAAAATATAAGAAAATTTTAAGCGAAACCAAATTTATAAGAGCGTCTCTAATATAATGTGCTCCTCACTGGCTCAGTCTTACAAGGCTAATAATCTAGTTTCGATACCCTTGATAGGCAGGAGCACAGATAGTCCATTGTGTAGCTTTGTGTTGAACAACAATCAAACCAAACAATTATAGTGTTACCCATCAATAAAACAACACCAATCACACACGTGTAATGTAAACTCATTGCATCTTATTTAATTGTTTGTTTGTTTGTTTGTTTTTGAATTT